CAAGAAAAAAGAAAAAATACATTAGCAATTGGAAACGACTATTTTATAGGGGAAATATTTCCGAATGGAAAAATCAATTTAGTTTTAAGTTAGTCCGGTTATGTATTTACCGCGGAAAATTGATTTTTATTCTTGTACACAACTACTTCCTGAATTTTTGCATTTTGCATTTAGTTGAACAGAATATTCATTTTCATTCTGTCTTTAGCAAATACATTTATTTTCAATATTACCAGGCCATAATAATCATTTCCAAAACCCCCTGTCAACATATGAGCTGCGTCGGATAGAAATCGACCTTATGCAAATGAATTCGAATACATCTGTAAACCTATTTCGGGTTGAAAAAATCTCCACGGAAAGCCTGTAACTGTTTGGAAATTGAGTTGGCATAAGAACCCTACAAAGCAGTTCAAAATTCATCTTTTATTTCGTATTTGAATGTTATATAATCAATCATCGTCTTACACATGTACATGTCAACGTGCACTTGCATAAGGTCGATTTCTATCCGACGCAGCTCATATATGAATAATATATGGTATAACTCTAAAACTTATATTTGACATAAAGCTGAAATTGCTTTTTTGAAGCTAATTTTCAACATTTTATTCTAAAAAGGTAAGAAAATCTGCAAAATAAAATCCATGTGATTTCGGAAGGAAAAAAAAACCACAAAATGTTATTTATAGAAAAAAAAAGAAAATGTAGTATGATTACCAATGAGACATTTCTCCGCTAGAGACCAAGTGACGTGGAAGTTTTCAACTATAGGCCACCGTACGGCATTCAACAATGAGCAAAACCAACGCCGTATTTTAAGCTATCACAACAAAAGTCTAAAAGTCTGAAAAGACCAGTTTTTGTCTTAATTTGCATGAACTTTTACTCGACATTCTCCAAAAGTATGACTTGTGTCTTAATTTTTCTTGACAAATTCTCATTTATATTGAATTTGTATGAAATTTACTCAAAATATTCTCGACATTCTGAATATGGTCTTAAAATTTCTTGACATTTGAATACTGTCTTGAAATTTCTCAACATATTCTCGACATTCTTTTTTTTTCTCAGTATGGCTTGACATATTCTGAACATTTTGAATCGTGTCTTAAATTTACTTGACAGTTCTGAGTTTTACAAATCATGACCAATATTCATGATATAACTTTAATCTTTATTTCTCTTTATATGATATACTGTTGTTTCAAGTTACACTTCTTTACAACAAAAATAAAAGTTGGGCATGTAAAATAATTGAAAATTTAGGTATATAAATATTTTTACAAATGCAAATATGGCTATGAAATCTAAAGTATAAAATAATTCAAATGTGGGTGTTTTGATATAAAACAATTTCAATGTGGGTTTTTAAACAATTACAAATTTTGATTCCTAAATCTTATAAATTAAATGATTCAAACCAACCATACTGTAGACATATTTCATTCTACATTCATAATATTCAATGTTGATATGGTAAATAATTATTATACCAAAATGTGGTTTATATAAATAGCAGATTATGATAATATACAAATCATTCATTTAACAGAAGAAAAATTTGTGTAATGTCATCTGTTGGAATATATTTAGTATTACACATGGACAGGATGTTCCCCATAAAATTAAGGTATTCCACACCCCAGAGTACACGCAACTGTCAAATAGAAGTTATTGCTTTAACTGTAATCAGCCATACAACTTATCAGTTGACCAACCATGCCACTACAATTTAAAAAGTTTGTTGATAGATGAAAATGAAAATCATCATTTTAATGAAAAAAAAATTGAATTGAAATGGATTTTCTTCATCAAAATTATGAAGTTAATTATTTTAACATAAAAACAAATTGAATAATCCCTAAAGATTAAAAGAAAATTATTATCTACTCCAGGAATAATAAAAAAAATTTATTTATAATGGGTCCCATCAATGATTTCTATAGAAATCATCGGTCTTATGAAATGGTTCTCAAACAGACATGCATAATATGGATCTTAACATTTTTTTTCTTTTCAGGAAGGAGTTATCACAATTTTTGATAAAAAATTATAAAATTCAACACTCAAATTTGAATAAAAAATGTTTTGGGTTGTTCTAAAAAATGAATAAGGTTTTTGAATCAAGATGGGAACAAATTCTTTGACCTAAACAAAAGCCCCCCCCCTCTTTTTTTAGCCCCACAAACCCAAAAGATGAATTGTGGGGTCCAAAAGAGATACAAGACACCTATTTTAGAAAAGCAAATTTGACTGGCAGTTTTGCGAACGGCAAAAATCTAAATGCTGTTTGTCAATACCTTCGACTTATATTCCAAGTGAAAACAATTACTAGTACTTAAATGTTTAATGAAAATAAATCAAAATTAAACTACATGGGGGATTATTCAGGGTATTCCAACTTAGTTGCACCAAAAGGGTATCTTACTATACCAAATTAATCCTTGATTCTTCAAAGTTTAGTTTAGCCATAATAAAAAGGAGTATATAACAGCAATAAAATGTCATAAACAGTGCAGAATAAGTCTGTTCACATTTCAGGCGAAATTTATACTGTTGAGATAGTGTCAAGACATATTTAAGACTGTCAAGAATGTGTCGAGACATATTCAGACATTATTTAGAATGTCAAGAATATGTCGAGACATATTCAGACATTATTAAGAAGGTCAAGAATATGTCAAGACAGATCGAGACAAATTTAAGACAGTCAAGAATTGGTCGAGACTAATCCAGACTCTTATCAGATGATAAGGAAGTGTCGAGAAATTTTAAGACAATGTTCATACTGTCAAGACACTTGTCAAGAAAAAATCAAGAACCTAATTAGACAAATTCATTCTATGTCAAGAATTTTTAAAAATTATTCAGAATGTCGAGTAAAAATTCATGCAAATTCAGACAAAAACTGGTCTTTTCAGACTTTTTGACTTTTGTAGTGTATAAAAGGCCCCGAAATGACAAACGTAAAACAAATAAAAAGAGAAAGTTCTGTTGAAATAAAAGTTGAATTTGCTATGGCTTTGAACCATTCAATAACAGAAGCTACTTTGTATGAGTTGGGTTTATTCATTTCCCTCCAAAAACATTGTTTAAGGTACAATAAGAAATATTCAATCATCATTTGATTGGCCACAATATTTTCAATATCATGAGGACTTATCCGAACTATCGCCAATATTATACGTTGTTTCAGGTCAATATATACGACAAAGGGGATACGATGTCTCAATTCACGACACAAAATCCCGAAACACAAAGAATCACATGACCTAAACGAATTTGACCATCAGTTTTTTTTTCTTTCTTGATAATGCCATGAGTGTCACAGACGATGCAGAAAGAGTTATTGTTAAGAAGCACTTGATATAAATATTGTTTTATACGAAGTATCCATTGTTTAAAGTTTTACTGGATTTTTGTAGATAGAAAGCGTTTTATCTTGCTTCTTTGTACCTCTGTTGTATACTTCTTATTAGTCACGTCTATGTTTCCTTTTTAAAAATGGAAAGAAGGTGACAGGGAAGCCATCAACTGAAGAAAGAAGACAAAACTAACGCCAACAAAAATTGACGAATAGACAAACTATTCTATAATACACTACACTGAAAAAAAAAAGATATTTTCCGACCGTGCAAGACCCTCATGTGTAGTCAAAGTCGTTAAAAACCCCCTCGTCGACAGAAAAAAAACAAAGATTGAGGAACATAAACACCATTTAAATTTAAATTAATGTTTTAACGTATTTAGTTCAATCACTCAGAAATGATTATCAGGTTTTCCACTTGAAAGATCTCGTACAATAAAGAGTGCATTTCTTTCTAACACAAACGATGCAAACGGCTAAGCGCGCACATGTTTTGATCATTTGTTTCTAACATACGTTTGCAAAGTTTACATAAACTTTGACAAACTATGCATTTGCTAAAAATGCGTCTACAGTTTGTCGTTCATCGATTGTTAGTACAAACGCTACATTTGTTTCTTACTTCAACCTGCTTAAACGATGTATTTGTTTCTACGTTTGCAAAAAGTCTGTTTACCAACAACATGTGCATGCATTATTGGAAGTAAACACTGATTTCACGATGTATTTGTTTCTACTTTTGTAGCGTTTAGAGAACAACAACAAACGCCACACAACGTTTACAAAATGTTGGTTAGAAAGAAATGCACTCAAAATATCATATAAATTCTATTCTTTCTGGCAAACGCAACCAATGAGCTAAACATGTTTGTATTGTACATGTTGTATCGATCGGTTGATATTTCTTAACATATAAACATGTATGCCGAAAAATGATGATCTGTTTATTGTGTTGACAATGGTTACCGAAAAAAGCGCTATGATTGTAAACGAAAGCCGACAAAAAGATAAAATGACGAAAAGAAAATGACGAAAAGACAAACGACGAAAGACAAACAGCACATAGATAATTTTAAGACTAAGGTACACAAATCCCATCAAAAACTACGTGGATCTGTGTATTCATGACGCGTAAGGTGATCCTGCTCCACTAGATGAACCCGTCATGTTGCTCATGGTATGTACAATTGTTAAGTCTTATTTAGTTATGACATCATTGAGGAAAAAGAGGATGGTATTGTTGATCCGACAATTGAAATATATTAACAGGGGTAAAATTTTCAATAACAAAATCAAAACACTTTAATGTCAACAACAACTCTTAAATCAAACTTAATAAATGTGGATGAAATCTGTACCATGTCACAATGCTGTATAATATGAATTGCTGAGCAAAATGATAGAGAACCATTGAAACGGAATAAATTCAAATTTGAACAAAAAGAAACCTGTTAGAACAAAATCGTCTTGTAAAACAATGTTTAATGAATATTGTGTTTCGAATACCAGAGACCAAAAGATATAGAATTTAACAATTATAGGTCACCGTATGACCTTCACAATAATCGAAACCCCTACCACTTATCAAGCTATAGAAGACACCCGTAGGACAAATGTAAAAAAATTCAAACAAATTAAAAACTAAGTTTATTTATAAAAGAGACAAAAAACTGTTCAACTTTCAATATGCTTTACGACTTCATTACATTAGATGATATTGAAAGTGGTTAACGACTGATTGAAACGAAAACAAAACCTAATTGTCTATATAGGTTTCACTTTGTAACTGAACTATACGTTATGTTGTTTCCTCTAAAGTAATCTTGCACGCCTGTAAAAGATATAAAGATATTTTAGGTACATAATAAAATTGAGAATGGAAATGGGGAATGTGTCAAAGAGACAACAACCCGACCATAGAACAGACAACAGCCGAAGGCCACAAATAGGTCTTCAATGCAGCGAGAAACTCCCGCACCCGGAGGCGTCCTTCAGCTGTTAAACATGCTTATTGTGTACACTATTGTTTTTAATAAGTAATCTGAATATAATACAGTTCCTATGTTCATGCCTTTCTAACAAGGATCTGACAATGTACCATTTTACTTTCTGTCTTTGTAATAATCAGCCAATGAAATTTCAGCCTTTCGAATTTCAAAGATATTCTATCATGACGACAAAACCAGAGCATCTCAAAGGATTTTAAAACAGAAAATAGAACGGAAAGTTGTCAAATTATCGTAAAATGGCGTGGACAAAAGATCTGTAGTTTAATCATATTGATAGAGAGAAACGTTCTGTTTGATGGACGAATAATCTGGTTATAATGGCGTGAAAGGGCAAGACGAATTCATGTATACATTTTTCTATACTTTGAAATCAATCCCGGTTTTCTGTGGAGTTCATGTTGCTGAGTCTTTAGTTTTCTATGTTGTTTTAATAGACTGTTGTTTATCTGTTCTTCATGTTTCGTTATTTTGCTTGCTGATCAATTGACTGTTGGTGTTTAACGCCACTTTCAGCGCTATTGACTATATCGTGGCGGTCAGTTTTTATTGGTGGAAGAAACCAGACTATCTAGAGAAAACCAGCAACATTCGGCAGGAAAACTGACAATCCTAGTCAGTTAAGATTGGAATCAAACGCACCTGTCACGTGCCGGGTTCAAAATGACAACCTTAGTAGTGAAAGGCTTGTGATAAAATAGGTGAACTACATAAACCCCTCGACCACCTAGGCCCCCGGTATTTTTCCATGGCGTTGTCAGTGTGTACCTGACTTATGAGTTTGAATATCTCTGTGGTATGTTCTCCTCTCTTTTTATTGTAATGCAAAATTCTGAATGGTGTCACTGTTCATGTGTAAATCTACCATAATGTAATCTCTAGGAGTGCAATAAAGCTGTTTATTGTTCGTGGCTCTCATTTTAGTTTACCCTTTATCTGTTTAAATGCATAACCTTTATAATGTACCTTCTTGCATGGCTTCAAATTATCTTTTTCAATACTACATACAATTGTTATTGCGTCACCACAAGTGTAGACTATTTTGAAAAAGTGCTGTTTGATGTTGGGTAGATACCTATGTTATAACTATTATTGACTTATTTTTTTTCTTGGTGTACATGTTTGTGGCAATTTTATTGTAACTGTCATAAACTAAAAAAAATAACAAATATTTTATGAATGGCACTTAATGGATAAAGTCAGATGATTCTGAATATCTAACAAAAAGTATAAACAAAATCAGCGAACTTCTCTAATACAGCATGTACATATCGGCATTACTCTCTGTAATTGAGTTGGTTTTACGAAAGTTTCATTAATTTTTTTTAATTGTTTTTTAAACGCCTTGGTGGTCTTGTGGTAGCGTGTTCGCCTCAAGTGCGGGAGGTCTTCTGTTCAAACCCCGGCCGGGTCAAACCAAAGACATTAAAATTGATATTTGCTGCTTCTCTGCTAAACATTCTGACTACGAGCCGACCAAAGACGGGTCGACTCGGAGTCAGAGTAAAGTGTCCGGGTTAGGCGACATTTCTTCTTGCAGACTGTTACCTTGTGAACTAGCACGTTAAAAATCCGACTCAGCGTACAAAGCAGGGTTAATATTCATATTATATTAACATGTTTTCGTCCTGAATATGCATATTAATTTGCCGCCGGACATTAAGCAGCCATTCATCATCATCATCATCAAATTTTTAAAGATGGGATTTAATTAATTATAATTAATGAAACAGCTCATTATTATCCTTTCCAACTAGAATGTGCAACACATTAACTTTCAAAAAGAATTTTCTGTCTGACATTATATGAGATTTTCGATAGGACTTCTTTCTTTGAAGCTTCAAATGCAGTTAAGAAAATGCTCGCTTTTTATTACATTTATCTGAATGATTTATTTGTTTGTACCTGTCTTTTACATTAACCCTGTCTCTTCTGTAGATGACTGTTTGTCCTTTTTGTCAATTAATCTCCTTAGAAGTCGTTTTAAATCTGGAAAAAAAAATACTTGTGAAAATATGTCATATTGTAGTGAAATATTTTTATGACGTTTATACACTAAGGTTACTTGTGTTGTTTTTTTTAAGATTATTTATCTACTTCGAACCTTTTTTTAAAACTACACTTTCTGACAAGGACTTATTAAACCGATGAGCAATATTCTTTCCTAAATCCGTTGGACTCTTTAAGCTCGGCTTTTTGTTTCTCTTGCAGTTTTGTTATATGACTTTGTGCTCAATTCTCATCTACAACTGATTTTCGAATATTGTTCTTATAACCTAGGATAGTGGAAAGGGGGATCTAGTACATAATAGATATAAGATGTTGTATGAGTGCCAATGAGACAACTCTCAATCCAAGTCAAAATTTGTAAAAGTAAACCATGACGTTGGTTGCTGACGGTCGTACCTTTTTTTGTTCATTGATGCAGTATACATATTTGGGTTTCTTTTATAAATCGTTTAACATTTTTTCATACATGCCTTTTATACCTTATAATGCGGTATAGGGTTTGCTCATTGTTAAAGGTTGAACATTGACATGTAATTGTTCAAATATTTGTCTTTTGGCCTTTCTGAATAGTTATCTCATTGGATGTCATACTATATCTCAAAATACATATTTTTTACTGATCAAATATTTGTTCATATGTGTATATAATGAGACAGACTTAGGTTAAATACACTGTTATGTATGGGGCAACCATTTGTATCTCCCTTTAAGAGTTATCACCCTTTAAAAGTAAACTTCCTTAAAAATCACTGTAACGTTTGTAGCAACCATTTTCATTTATACATTCTAAGTTTCTAAGTAACATTGATTATTGTATTTCTGAATCACATGATTGGTTTTTAAGACACAGTTGTAAAACTGACTATTACTGATTTAAAGAGTTATCTCCCTTTCAGAGTAATCTCCCCTTTAGAATTATCTCCCTTTAAGAACAGCTATTTTCAAGATTTTATTAGTAACACAGATTATTTCAATTCTTGATCACACGATTGTGTTTTTAAGAAGCATTGGTAGACTTACTATTACTGGTTTAAAGAGTTATCTCCCTTAAAGAGGTATTTTCTTTTAAGAGTAATCTCCCTTTACGTATGTCTACCCCTTTTAATAACAGATAAACTTACTAAATGGTTCACAATCACACGTATAACAGCCATCTGGTCCGGTCTTGTGTCCATTACTACAAAACTTTGAACAGTTATCGGGGTGTGGTTTGCAGACTGAAGAAGAAATATTGAAATATAACATGTAAACTTCAGAAATATAATTTGTGAGAAACTGAAAAGTAAAAATAATTTCATACAGTTAATTAATACAATTAATTACTCATTTCATTTATATGATGAATAAAGAAACTTCTAAACGTCAAAGTAACTAAAAAATTTATGTCAAATAACTTAATTTGTACTGATTGATACATTTTTAGAGTGCATTACAAAAATACAGTGAAATCAGATAGACGAAAAGATGAATCGAAAATGTCTGGTTTTAAAATTAAGATCCAGCGTTTGTAAATCTAATAGATACTTGTAAAAATCTGTCGAAATGACATTCTTGCAACAAAATTATGTTTTCTTCAAAACGTTGAAAAGTAATGTATATAAAAAAACTAAGTTTTTTCCATAAACCAATTTTCAGTGTTCAATATAGTCCTTAGTATGATACAATTCCCAAAATTTACATATATTTACCATTACTTTTCGAGCACGCCGATATGCTTATCGTCAATGGTACTTCAAGAAAACTAATGTCTTTCGGTGAATATACGGAGTGAAAATTTTATCTGTTCAAGTTAAGAATTAAAAGGAATACATGTTCACAAAAAATAATATCTGTTTAAATATTTTACAATTTTTTATTACATTGTTTTTTACAATTTTGTTCATATTTGTTCGGTTTTCTCTTTTTGTTCGCATTAAATGCGCATATTGGGGGAAAACCCGCTTGAGTTTGTCTGATGACTTATTTCAAAAACTATTAATATTTGCTGCATATCAATCGATTTTGTAATATTTTCAACAACACTTCTCTTGTCACTTCTCTGGTCACTTTTTATACATTTAAAGATAATATTAAGTGGTTCCAGCAGAAAAAAGAAATTGGTACAGAATTTATTTGCATAGCAAAATTTCAAATTAATTTCTATACAAAACTTCGATAGCCTGCTCTTCTTGTCGTTTGTTATATAGGAACAGTGTGGTTATTATCATTCAATTCTATTTTTTCTCTATTATAATTATTTACAAGAACATTTTCTTGTAAAAAATAAGACAGTGTCAGTTGTCAGTGCTTGCAAGGGCGATATTTTTTTCTAACATTCGATTTCCCATTGAAATATAGCTTGACGTTTGTTTGCAAAATGAAACGGTTTCGGTAAGTGAGACTAAGATAAACAAGAACATTTTATCCTATTCGAAAAACTTTGATAATAACAGCATTCTCATATCATCTAATATATATATAAAACAAGTACAGTTAGGAATCGAAGAAATTCTACTGCGCATGACTTTAAACTAAGTGGTGACATGCCCATTTCCTACTTCAGAATATTCACTAGTCTTGTTTTTGACTTTTTGTCAGATATTCGGAATCTTCTAGTTTTATCCATGTAAGGCCATAGATAATTTTGCTTGCTGACCTCTACTTTTCTATCAATAATTTTATTACATATAGTTATAAAGCCATTTTTGAAAATCTTATTAAAGCCTTGTTATTGTTTCATAGTTTTGAAGGAAAAAAGGTGTCAATGTCAAATATATGGAAAATCTACAGAGAATCAATGCTCGTCAAAGTTTCAATGGCTTATATCTCAACAACAAAGACACGTGCCTTTTATTTTTCTGCTTTTTAAGTTCCGTTATTCTGATACGGCAATATATAACAGTCTTTTAAAAAGCTTGTTATTTTGAGACAGAGCAGTGAACCTCTATAAAAAGCATCGTTATTACATTCATTTGTAGGCTGGTTATCTACCTTGCAACATACGGGATCGGAGTCACCCTTGCACACAGAGCCAAACAGATCAAGGACAGGAAACCAGTCTTTATTATTTGTTTATATCATTAAATCATTTTAAGAATTTGTTGAACACGTTGAATATATACTGACAATGAATTGGTTCGGTACTAAAGTAAATACTTACGGCATATATTTCCACATTTTTGCGTCGAACAACAATGCTGACCACTTGGACACTGGTCTTTGTAACAATAATTTTCACCTGGACATTTTAAGTAGGACTCTTGTATATTACATGGATTTACCCCTATAAAGTAAAATAACGTTATCTCACTCACAAACGTTTCAATCGTTTAAATGCACACCGTATAAATATGCTGTACAGGACTATAAAATCCATTGCATTGCAAAATCGGCTGTACACGATTGAAAAAAAAAATGGAAAAAAAATGAAAAAAAAAAACAAAAAAAAAACACGTGTTGATAATACAAATTGTGTTTATGTTAAGGGCACACCTAATGGAGAGACCATTCACGTAAGCCATTTACAATAATCATCCTGTTATTACCTATTTGCAATCCATTTTACATTACTGTGGATTCATTTATTTTCGTGGGTACCAATTTTCGTGGATTGAGGAAAACTTGCATTTTCGTGGATATTTGATTTCGTGGTTTTCCAAAAGTCTGCATATAATCATACAGCAAATTTGCAATTCGTTGAACATTGAAATTCGTGTTTTCCCTGTAACCACGAAATCAACGAAAACTGGTATCCAACGAATAATAATGAATTCACATTAAAAGGAGTATTGCACTTACACACTAGAAATTATTGTAAGATTCAAAAGGACATACTATACTGTGCTCGTTTCATTTGCTTTAATTTAGTCCACAACATCGTGCTCGTTGCATTGCTTTCTAAGGCATGGATACACTTGTACGAGTGTCCTCCATATGAGTTGTTTCCAGAAACCAAAACAATAAAAAAACAAGGAAATCAAAAGTTGAGAAGTCGGTAACTTAGAAATAATCTGTTCTAAATTAGATTACAATTTGCTGTAACAAAATTATGGAAATTATTTGAAATTAATTCATATTTTTCCCTTAGGCAAAGCTCTGATTCACAGCCCTACTTTGGCTCTACTCTTTGACCTTTTTGGTTTCTAAGCCCCTCTTTCTTTCAAGAATGTTTGGAATTTCAAATATTTTGGTCTAGAATATCACTAAAGAGACATTTATTGTCTAAATGCAAATCTGGTGCAGAAAAATTGTTACCGTTAATGTTTTTATATATTATCAATATATAAACGTCTTTTAAAAAGCATCTTAATTACATTTGGTACCGATAATGTTGCTACTTCTTGTATTATAATTAAGTCACTAACCACGGTCATCTAGCATTAAGTCGTATAATCGATCTTGTGAAAGTATATCCTCTCCTGCGTCATCAGGAAGTAGGTCGTTTTCGTCGCCATAGACCTTTAAATAATAATAATAATAATGATAATTTTATTTAGAGAGTAACTCATTTGGATTACACCAATTTTTAATAAAGCTCTCTTAATACAATAATAATTACATTAAAAATTAAACAATACAAATTTAATAACAATGATAAATAAAGATGCAATACAATTTAAATTCGATAAACCATTATTATATGGCATCATGGACTTTCGATATTAACGGGACTCGTCTCTATTGATTTTAACTACTAGTAAATAACTACGCCTCCCGTGTAGAGCTACCACCCAAAAATAAAGGTAGTTTCGTAGCTCTGATACATGAAGCTAGTAGTTGTTTGCGTTTTTCAAAGTACATTGTAATTCAATACTTTTTTTTATATAAAATCAGATTAATAGCCATTTACCATAACAAAAAATATAAGATTTTAAAAGAATGTTAAATTATTAAACTGAGACATATCGTTTTGAAGAACACTCCAGTCGTGCAAAAGGGGATACATATTGAACAAGATGGCGGCCACTTGAGATTTACTAACAAAATACCTTTAAGTTCAAAGGTCTATATTTTAAAAACTATCCGAGAAATCTTTTCAAAAATCAGCATTTTGCAATGACAAAATGTAAAATATTTCATAAAAATGTTACTTCATTAAACATGAACATATAGTTATGAAGAACACTTCGTAAATGTGAAATGATTTGCTATGAAGTCACGTGACATCAGTGACGGCACAGTTCTGTCTACAAATTTGTATAGACATTGTTATAAGTGACCAGTCCCGTTAGTATAGACTGTCCCTGATAAAGTACAAATATCATGGTAATGTCAAAAGTACATAGATTTGTTGTTATGTTTAAATTCTAATAATGTGTTTGATTTTTTAATTGTATTAGGAAGACCATTCTAAACTTTTGTCCATTGTACGAGAAACTAGATTTTTACAACTCTGTATTTGGTTTTTGAATTATAAAATTATCCGAAGATGAAAATCTTGTATTGTATTTTTGGTTGCAGAAGCTGATTAAATAATACTTGACAAATATTCCGGAACCAAACCATTCTTTGCCTTATACATTAGTAATGATTTATGATAATGTATTCTTTTTGTAATTGGTTTGCTGTAATCATGTTCGTTTAACATTATTCTTGCTGCCCTCTTTTGCAGTTTCATTAAACTAACTAATAGAAAGTTGTTGCAGTTTCCTCATACTGAACAACAATAATATTTGTTTTTGAAAATGTATTTGAAATAGATATCATTTGGTATCTGTCAGCTAAATATGATGTAAACTAACGTAGCGAAGTATATGAAAACGTGTATTTGTTTGATTTTTGAAGCAGTTCATGATTGAGAAGCTAGAATATTTTGGAACAGAAATAAAATGAATATTATCTGGTTCATTGCTATAACTATGGTCTATCAAAGTAGGAACAGAGACCAATTGAGACCAGTTAAAAGTGTTTCTTTGTTAATGAGCTTATTTAGCTAGAATTTTGCTTGACGCATATATGTATATTATAGTTACTTAAAATAAATGATTTCTTTATCTTTAATCGACATTTGTTAACATTGTTTGAAATTTTGTAATCCACTCTGCATTACTGTTTGGCGGTTTATATATGTAACTAAGTAAAAAAGGTTTTTGATGAACATAAAAAAGTTCGATCCAAATTGACCCTATATTGTTCTTTCCAAATGATATCGTCTAATTGTGGTTAACATATTAGAAATATAAATAAAAAACCCAGATTTTCCAATTAATGTAATTATGTCATGTCTTTAAGCATGAATAAGTTGTGGGGATTCATTAAAATAATTGATCTCGTAAAAAATTGAACGAATGTGCCACACAGTAATTAAAAACAAATCAATCCTTTTAAAGAATGTGCCACACAGTAATTAAAAACAAATCAATCCTTTTAAAGAATGTGCCTCACAGTAATTTAAAAAGCAAAGGACAATGCAAAACTAAGATAAAAAAAATTACATACTTTGCAAAAAGAAAAACCAAGAGAAAATATCACAATCATCGCACAAAAAAAGAACCACAAAACAGGGCCCGTATGCATAAAGCTACTTAAGTTAAGATATCCGATCGTAGTACTAATTTATCGTAGAACATGTAGAAAAATCCGTCCGTTCGGAACAAATCGTAACTTCAGTAGCTTTATGCATACGGGCCCAGGTGGTCTTGAAGAGTTATAAGTTACTGTATAACTAATGACAAACGTCGTAGTCTTTCCGGAAAAGAACGGGGAAGACCTCTACTAATAGAAACAACACTGAATATTACTAACCCAATTAAAAACGAAAAAAATCAATTAAAAGCAAAAGCAACTCAAATTCTTCGAAAAAGGTAGAAGTCATCGGTAACGGTCTTGTCCGAGAAAAAAAGACGTAAACAGATAGCTAAATCAAGCTTAGCTAGTAACACATGCCGTATTTTTCCAGATAAGATATATCTGGTTATAAGGTATTTCACGATAGAGATCGGTAATCTTCCTGCACAAAATACTAGCAGTATATGTGCTTGTAAATTATCTGGCCATGTTGCACAACCGAATATAAAAGTTGAAATACAAGTAGTCTCTACAGAAAAGAATAGATAAACCGTTACCGAGAGCAACAACACAGACATTGAATAATAAAACAACACTTACAAAACAAAAACAAAACAGAAAAAAATAATTAAAATCAAAAGCAGCTAGACTCCTAAAAATGGTAAAAGATAACTTCGCTCCGAAATATAAAGCAGATCTACTAAGCTACTGGATTAAGCTGAAGATACAGTAATCATCGTAAAACGTTTATTGTGCAGTAAAAGATTGATTGATTAGTGTTTAACGCCACTTTCAACGCTATTTGATCCCAGGTACTTCGGGAAGGTACGCAGATCCTGCTCCATCTGTTTTCCTGTTTATCATACTATTCAAAATCGTTTAATTTTAAAAGAAATAGATTTGGCGTTCAAGAGCAGTCTTATTTAGTTCAACAATCCGTCAATAATTCATTAGGATATTTTTAAGTGCATTTTGTTCATCAATTTTTTACTTAAAGCTTCCAACTCAAACATTAAAAAAATGTTTTCATTTAAAGAAACTAAATTTGTTTCCCAAATAAATCCATGTTCCCTTATGTTGGAAATATTATTTGTGGCATACTGAATAAATTCCTTTAAAATAGCCACAGCGATTTATTCCTGATACTGCCTCTAACAATCAATCAAGCTGATTAAATTTCTATATGAATATTTAAAAAAGTATGGCTTAAAATGATAAAAGGTAGATAAAACTTAAGTTCATGAAATTAGATCAATTTTAACAATACATTTATACATGTATTGGTAATAAAGATAATAACAAATCGATGACCAGGCTCAAAACCGATTGAATTGAGAAATAATATTAACCTTAAATATATGTATTAAATAGAAAAAGAGATATAAATAAAAAAAAACTTACTTAAAATATATATAAGTAAAATAAATTAAGAACGACTTTGTACAAAAAACTTTTACAATACATCTGTGCGTGAATTTGTAGATTCCATATGAAATCTTACTAGCCTGGCCTAGGATACTGTAAACCAACTTATTTTCGCGGATACTTTATTTCGCGTTTAGCCCTTATTAGCCTACTTCGCGGCGATTTAATTTCGCTATTTTCAAATTTGATTGATGCAGTTAAATAAGGAAACTTCCAAGTTTTACATATTCGCGACGATTTATATTCGATTTAGTTTCTTGGTTACTGGTAATTCGAGAAATCTCTAGATAATATTTGGTTAGAATGATAGCTAATTACGGAGTGAGCTCTCCTGATACAAACTGAATGAAGAAAAGGCACTAACCTGAGTGACCAGTACTAATACTGACAAAACAAATACGAGCCTAATCATGACTACTATAGGTATGAGCAGGGCAACTATAGAGAAAATCTTTTTTATACTGGTTCGATTGACCTTAACCTTAACCCTAGCCTTTAGTTGACATGTCAAGACTTAACAACAAAACTAGCACGCAAACCTCGGCATATATATTCGAAAACTTATATGAAAGAATAATTACATTGTCAGTTATGTATTTTACTTAACTTCAAAAGTATCGGATTTGATCAAATATGTTAAATAACTGGATTTGATTAAGAAAGAAATATTGTTTAATGCTGACAATATAAGTTATATGGTTCGCTTTTGACCCCCTACGTTTCTAGAGGGTTAGTAAAATCCATAGGGGGTGAGGCCGTAGGCCGAATCTCCTATGGATTTTATTCACCCTCTTTGGTCCGTAGGGGGTCAGTAGTGAGCCGTATAACGAATTTATCGCACGCGGGACATTTTCTGCTGCGTTTTGTAGAAAAATAAAGAGTAAAACACAACAACATGAATAGATGACGTCACCATTAACAAAAAACATGACGTCACGAACCCCCTATGAAATTTACTAACCCCCTACGGGTCCATAGGGGTCACCACGTGACGGCGTTAAACCAATCACAACGTGATAATTTACCCGCGGTGCGATAAGAAGAAATAACACCCATACAAGAATCCTCTGACTCCTTTTAATAAAGCCTTTTATCTTTCCTGAACCATGCTAAAAAGACATACATGTGTACGTCGGTTATGAGGTTTAGAGGTTCATATGTTTCAACATTATTCATCTGAAGCTAAAAGTAGAGGCTCAGGTAAATTCTGTGGGGAAATATTGTCATCACGTTGAAGTTGACACTTTTTATATAATGATCGAATAAATATGAAGAGCTATGATTCGTGGTGGCAAAATGTGTAGAATCGATGCCGCAGGCCTGTAGCCTAGAATTTCCAAAAAAAGGGGGGGGGGTAGTTACATGGACTCGCGAAGCTCACTTTAACAGTTACAATTCAAACAGAACGTCGACTTTAACAGTACTTATTTGTTTTCAAAAGGGGAGGAGGGGGGGGGGGGGGCGTACGAACCCCTCGACCCCCCTGGCTACGGGTGTGTGCCGATTGCTACGTAGTCTTGACAGACTATTTTAACCTACACTTTTGGTGATTTTGGTGATTTTGGTTTTTATGCTCTTGATCTTCGTTATTTAACTGATTTCAAACTACTAATGCGTTTAATGCAGATGAAATGAGCGTCTCGATTATCAAATAATAAGGCTTATATATTTGATTTGTTATGTTCAAAAAATGTTTTCGTGGCTATGGCATAGTAAATGCTTTCTGCAATAACGTATTAATTCATTCGTTTATGTGATGCCTTGTTTGTGTTGTTCAGTCTCTATCTCTTTCATGTTGTTTTCCACAAGAACAATTCATTTTATTCATATGACATTTATGAAGTGACAGATATATCATGGGCCACCTATTTAACCAGCAATAATTATTCTAAGGAAATATAATTTGTAAAGCTCTTTTTTATTTGATAACGTATGCAATCAATTAAACAGTGCATAAACACATTCGACGTTTTCTGGATATTTCAATTATTTCATTGTACATTTTACTATTCTTTATACAGAATTAGAAATAATAGGACCATTAATTTAAGATTTGGCGGTCGCAAATATTTGTTAAACTGGCTATGCTCCGCACAATTGGTAAAACTGCTTTTGCGGACATTAAATCTACAATTGACGGCGAAAAATCTTCACAGACATTTCTGTTTAATCTTTTGTACAAGGTCGTTCATACAGACCCCAACCTGGACGGAAGGTAATTATGAACGATGGGCCAGAAAAAATGATAACTTTACTCCAAATATTTTTTTCGGTTTATTTATAGAAGCAAACAAAAAAAAAACCAGAATAAGTCGACAAATTTCACACGTTGCTACAGGGATTTTTTTAATTATCAGTTATATATATAATCAACACATTTAACGCATAATGGCTTCATTCTATTCTAAAGTGTCATATTTACGGTAACATAATAGTAATGATGATTTATGGAGGAGAGAGGGGACAGCAATTAACAAAAAACGTTTACCTAATCTTTGATACAACAGTCAATAGATTTAAAAGCCCATAAAATCTATCAAAACTACAGTTGAATATACCAACTTTAGTTTTTTACATACAAAGAGTTTTTGAAATTAAAACCAGCTTGTATCTTTTTTTTCATATTTTCATTATGTAAGCATGCCCGCATAATTCGACAGTAAATATTGGAGTCTTTCGAATCGAGGTGACAGAGAGATTCCCTCGTCACCAAATACTTGACGTTAAAAACAAATCCGGGTTACAAACTAAAACTGAGGGAAACGCATCAAATATAAGAGGAGAACAACGACACAACAAAAACACAACATTTAAATGTAACACACACAGAAACAAACTATAATATAACAATGGCCATTTTCCTGACTTGGTACAGGACATTTTAAGAAAAAAATGGTGGGTTGAACCTGGTTTTGTGGCATGCCAAACCTCCCGCTTTTATGGCAACGTCAAACACAACATCAAAACGACATCATCACATGACAGGACCACAATACAAATAAATGGGAGAACATATAGGACAAAGAAACACACGAATAATAGCTAACAAAAGGTACTAGGCTTAAAATTCAATACGTCAGACGTGCGTCTCGTCCACACAAGACCAACCAGTGACGCTCAGATGAAAAAAGTTTGAAAGCCAAAACAAGTACAAAGCTGAAGAGTACCGAGGACCAAAACTTCCAAAAAGTAGCGCCTAACACGACCAGGGTTTTCTGTCTGGGTCAAGAACATCCTGATTATTTAGAATAATTTATAATTTTGCAAACAGTAAATTTTATAAAATGACTATATAATAGATATACATGATAAAACCAAAGTGAGGACTAACTACAGAATAAAAACGGATACATTACATAAAACAACTTAATCCAACACATAAAAAAATACACAGCCGAGTTAGCCAAAGCCTCAACGCACAAAGTGACGTCACATTTGAAATTCTAAAAAAACACAGTTTTTATTGATGGAGGAAGCTGGAGTGCCCGGAGAAAAAACCACCGACCTTCGATAGGAAAACGATACTTCGATAGTTGGTTTTTTTTTTTATTCTAATCTTTTCTCTTTTGTTATTTTTGGTGTTTTCTTTTACTCGCTATTGCGAATTATAGTGATTGGGTTACAGTGTCAGTGTGAATGTGTTGCACACAATTTTTATTTTTCAGGAAAAAAGTATCAACTTTTAAAATTCTGAACAAATTTTCTATTTGAAATTGTTTGCATCTGTATTATTGCGAAAACGATACTTCGATAGTTGTTTTTTATTCTAATCTTTTCCCTTTTGTTTTTTAGGTAATAAAATTGAGAATGGAAATGGGGAATGTGTCAAAGAGACAACAACCCGGCCATAGAGCAGACAACAGCTGAAGGCCACCAATAGGTCTTCAATGCAGCGAGAAACTCCCGCACCCGGAGGCGTCCTTCAGCTGGCCCCTAAACAAATATGTATACTAGTTCAGTGATAATGGACGTCATACTAAACTCCAAATTATACACAGGAAACTAAAATTAAAAATGATACAAGACTGACAAGGCCAGAGGCTCCTGACTTGGGACAGGCGCAAAAATGCGGCGGGGTTAAACATGTTTTTTGAGATCTCAACCCTCCCCCTATACATCTAGCCAGTGTAGAAAAAATAAACACACAACAGTACGCACAGTAAAACTCAGTATAAGAGAAGTCCAAGTCCGATGTCAGGTGTTTGTTTTACTGGCTATTGCGGATTATTGTGATTGGTTACGTTGTCAATATAAAGGTGTTCCAGACAATTTTTATGTTTCAGAAAAAAGTATCAACACAAATACCGAATTTCAAGGTAAATTCGAAAAAAGGAGAAAATCCATAAAACGTGAAAAAATCGAATGTTAGACTATATCAATCAACGAAACGAAAGGAATACAACTGCAATATTTCTGATTTGAAACATAATTTCCGAAGGCAATGGAGGGTTAAACCTGGTTTTATAGCTTGCTAACAGAATATTACTAGCAAAAGTCGAACTGGTTGTTTTTCCAGTAATATTGATAATATTTTCTTATTCTCCTGTTCTTTTCTTTGTCAACGTAACATGATTGGTGATCAATTATGCTGATTAAATTTCTATATGAATATTTAAAAAAGTATAGCTTAAAATGATAAGAGGTAAACAAAACTTACTTCGTGAAATAAAATTAATCTCAACAATACTTTTATATGTGTATTGGTAATCAAAATAAAAACAAATCGATGATCAGGATCAAAACCAATTGAAATGAGAAATAATATTAACCTTGAATATATGGCTTAAAAAGAAAAAGAGATATTAGTAAAAAAAACTTACTTAACATGTACATGTATATAAGTAAAATAAATTAAGAAGACTTTCTACAAAAAACTTAAGTTTTACAATAAATCTATTCGTGAATTTGTAGATTCCATATGTAATCTTACTAGCCTGGCCTAGGATATATATAAATTAGAATAAAACTGATTTTTTACAATAAACTTGCATTGTAGAGATCATTTTAGCGTAAACTTTATTTGTTAACCTCAATAGTCAGGCATAATACCAACTGAACTAAGTGCCAATCTTTGTGAGAATCAGGCAATTTAGAAGAATTTCAAAACATGGCCGAAAAAAACCTGCCAACCTAACCATCATCCTGATTTAGACATGGTAGGTCTTTTGTATCTGCGTGACTGGTAATTTGAGAAATCTCTAGATAAGTTTTGGTTCGAGTGATAACAAAATACGTAGTTAGCTCCCTTAAAAAAAAACTGAATTTAGAATAGGCACTTACCTGAACGACCAGTACTAATACTGACAAAATGAACGCAAGGCGAGTCATGACTACTATAGGTATGAACTGGCCTACTATAGAGAAAATCTTTTTTATACTGGTTCGATTGACCCTTACCTTTACCCTAGCCCTTAGTTGACATGCCAAGTCTTAACAAAACTAACACGCAAACCTCGGCATAGATATTCGAAACTTTATATGAAAGAATAATTACAGTGTCAATTATGTATTTAACTCCACTTAAAAACTATCAGGATTTAAAAATAATGTTTTCAAATATCTTAAAAACTGAATGTGTTTAAGAAAGAAATTATGCTTTATGTTCACAAAGAAATAAGTAGCAGTCATATAAGTATTCATTGACTACTTATTCAAACGGTCAACCATTTAAAACTGCGGGTTATCTTTCCAAGGTCGATGTGTTTTGGCTTTTATTTTAAAGAAATTTTAGAACTCATGTCCCTATGCTATATTTTCTGTTAATGACTTTTGATTGAAATGATAATTTATATTGGTATAATTAACCTGGTTTTTATCGTTATCTTTCCCGAACTATGCTATGACTTTTTAAGCAAACATTTTTTATGTATTTGGGTTTCAAAGCTTTTCATCTTTGTTATTCATTTGACTTTCAAACTGTTTTTGTTTTGAGTTATTCTAATGAGTAAAATGCAGATTAAATTAGCGTCTCGCGTACCAAATTAAAAGGCTTATTTATTTGATTTGTCATGTTCTAAAAATGTTTTCGTTACTATGGCGTTGTAATTGCTTTCTGCACTAAAGTATTTATTGATTCATTTATTTGATGACTTTTTTGTGCTGTTTCGTCTCTATCTCTTTCACGTTTATTTCGCAAGTTTAGTTCATTTTATTGATATGACATTTATGAAGTGACAGATATTTAATGGGCCATCTATTTAACCAGTAATAATTATTCTAATAAAACATGTAAAATATAATTTGTAGCGCCTTTTCTATAGAATAACGTCTGCAATTAAATATTGCTTAACGCATTCGACGTATTTGGGCTAATTCAATTATTTTATTGTACATTTTACTAGTTTTTATATAGATTAAGAAATAATGGAATCATCATTTAGGATTTGGCAGTTGCAAATGTCTGTTAAACTGACTATGCTCCGCACAATTGGTAAAACTGCTTTTGCGGATATTAAATCTACAATTGACGGCAAAAACTCATCACACACATTTCTGTTTAATCTTTTGTACAAGTTCGTTCATACAGACCCCAACCTGGACAGAAGGTAATTATGAATGACGGGCCAGAAAAAATGATAACTTTATACTGTGGTCACACCTTACCGGATAGCTCGAACGGACGCCGAACGAATGAATAAAAGGATTTCCGTTGACAAAATTTTATCCGTTGGGAGTCCGTTGGTGTACTAACCAAATAATACGGAGGCGTAACGAATGCCTAACGGACACACACAGGATATGCAACGCATGAGAAACGGAAACGTACAGGACAGAACGGATGTCGAACGTACATCCAACGGACGAGTACCGCATAACACGGACACCTAACGGAAGCGTACCGGATAAAACGGATGAACAAGATAAGCAGAAAATTATAGGTGGCAATTACAATACACGCAAATCACATACACATGACCTTAAAATAATTAAAAAGTTTCCGTGTAACTGGTTTAAGTTTATTGTTCAAAATGCCGCCAAAGGATAGGAGTCGAAAAGAAGAGGAAAACAATGTCAGAGAAAAAAAATGTCGGAGAAAAATGCCAATAAAAAAATCTGACATACCAATAATTGGCATTTCTGACACGAAATTTTCAATTGGCATTTATCCGGTTTACATTCGGTACGTACCCGTTTAATCCGTTATCCTTCCATTCATGTCCGTTTCACATCCGTTCATCAATTGTTTTATCCGTTATACTTCCGGTAGAAGTCCGTTGGTAAATTGGTATACCGGACCTCCAACGGATGTATAACGGACAAGTAACGAATACAGAACGGAAACAGAATTGACGAGTTCCGTAAAAAAACGGACGCCTACCGGACGTTCAACGGACACTTCATCAGTTGGACGTCCGTGCAAAGTTTTGAACATGCTCAAAATGTTCCACCGGAGAGAACGTACGTCGACGGATAAAACGGACGCTGAACGGACATGAAACGGATATAAACGGACGTCTAACGGATAAGAACGGACGTCTAACGGACATGAACGGATTGCAAAAAGTTATCCGTTCGGCGTCCGTTCGCGCTATCACGTAAGTTGTAACCGGGGATTACTCCAAATATTTTTTCGGTTTATTTATAGAAGCCAAAAAAAAACCAAAAAACAAAACGAAATAAGACGACAAATTTCACACGTTGCTACAGGGATTTTGTTAATTATCAGTTATATCTAATCAACTCATTTCACGCATAATGGCTTCATTCTATCTTAAGAGTCATATTTACGCTAACACAATAGTAATGCTGATTTATGGAGGAGAGGGGGAACAGCACCTAACAAAAAACGTTTACATCATCTCTGATACAACAGTCAATAGATTTAAAAGCCCATAAAATCTATCAAAACGACAGTTGAATATACACACTTTAGTATTTTACATACAAAGAGTTTTTGAAATTAAAACCAGCTTGTATCTTTTTTCATATTTTCATTATTTAAGCATGCCTACATAATTCGACAGTAAATATTGGCGTCTAATGAATCGAGGTGACAGAAAGATTACACCCCGTAACCAAATACTTGACATTAAATAAAATAAATTTTCTGAATAAATCAAATTTTGAAAGAGTACGACAGGTTAAGTTTTAAGAAACGATTGAACTCATAAAATTCTTAATAAATTTTCTATTTGGAACTGTTTGCATCTGTATTATTGCGAAAACAATACTTCGATAGTTGGTTTTTTTTATTCTAATCTTTTCCCTTTTGTTATTTTTTTACTCGCTATTGCGAATTATAGTGATTGGGTTACAGTGTCAGTATGAATGTGTTGCAGACAATTTTTATTTTTCAGGAAAAAAGTATCAACTTTTAAAATTCTGAAAAAAAATTCTATTTGAAATTGTTTGCATCTGTATTATTGCGAAAACGATACTTCGGTAGTTGTTTTTTATTCTAATCTTTTCCCTTTTGTTATTTAGGTGTTTGTTTTACTGGCTACTGCGGAATAATTTTTTTTTACTGGCTATGGGAAATTATAGTGATTGGGTTACAGTGTCAGTATGAATGTGTTGCAGACAATTTTTATTTTTCAGAAAAAAAAGTAAAAAAAAAAAAAAAAACGAATTCCAAGGTAATTCAAAAAGGAGAAAATCCATAAATAAAGGCAACAGTAGTATACCGCTATTCAATAGTCATAATTCGATTAAGCAAAAACAAATCCGCGTAACAAACTAAAACTGAGGGAAACACGTCAACTATTAGAGGAAAACAATGGAACAACAGAAACACTTAAATGCAACAAAAGCAAACGCCAACATACATAGAAACGGACTTTAGATAACAACTGCTATATTAATGACTTGGTACAGGACATTTTGAGTTTAACCTGGATAGATAGCTAACAAAATATAGCTAGCAAATGTTCAGCTGGTTGTTTTTTCAGTATTATTGATCGTATTTTCCTATTTCTCTGTTTTATTTTTATGAAGTAACAGCATTACAGAGCAAGTAACAGCATTACAGAGCAAGTAACAGCATTACAGAGCAAGTAACAGCATTAGCGAGCAAGTAACAGCATTAGAGAGCAGGACAAAATTAATGATAAATTATTAAATTAAATTTAAGTATGTATCTTATTTCAGAATCAATAAATTAGTACTAACAGCTAATAGTAAAGTAGAAGAGGTAATAGATTTTGCACTACTTTATACTAATAATATGCACATTACATCTTACAATACAACTTTGATGTTTATTAATGTCATGTCAACTTTGAACCTTATGTAATGGTGAAATTTTTTGAAAAATTTTACATTATTAGTTTCATTCAGTGTCTGTATCTATGGCAAGCCGTTGTGGAATTTATTCCTTATTTATTAATATTAAAAAATAATTTATAGATATTAAAAAAATCATTTTTTTAATATTACAAAATCATTTTTTAATATTAATAAATCGAATTTTTAATATTAAAAAAATCCGGTCATTTTTTTTATATTAAAAAAAGAATTTTTTTATATTAAAAAAATGAATTTTTAATATTAAAAAATCATTTATTAATATCAAAAAATCTCTTTTTAAAATTAAATATTCAGTCGGATTGATTAATATTAATAAATGAATAAATAAATTTTTAATATTAAATAAATATTAAATAATATGCTGATTTTTTAATATGAAAGTATCTCTATAGAAGATCGATATTTGACATATGCAGACGTAATGTTATGGATAGTAAGATGCCAAAGTGTAGATTTATTCCGTTGATATTTAAAATGGGTTATCACTGGTGTTAGTATGTCTTTTGATTGAATAAAGCTATTTCAATTGATATCCTATAGTGTGTCTTTCTATGTTGTGATGTTACACTATTGTTTCAGATAAGGGTGAAGGTTTCGTACCATTAAAACGTTTAAACCCGCTGCAATTGTTTGCACCTGTCCTAAGTCAGGAATCTGATGTTCAGACGACACTCGTTTGTTGATGTGGTTCATAAGTGTTTCTCTTTTCTCGTTTTTTATATAGACTAGACCGTTGGTTTTCCCGTTTGTATGGTTTTACACTAGTAATTTTTGGGGCCTTTTATAGCTTGCTGTTCGGTGTGATCCAAGGCTCCGTGTTTAAGACCGTACTTTGACCTATAATGGTTTACTTTTATAAATTTTGACTTGGATGGAGAGTTGTCTCATTTCCACTCATACCACATCTTCTTATATCTATTATATATGTTGTTATTTAATGCAAATTGACGCGGAAAAGAATTACCAATGAAGTGAAACTAACGGATGGATATATATTATTCGACCTATACGAAGGTTATCTTGAATAAAAGTAATGATCTATCTAGCCCCATTTTTCCAGAAAGACAAAAAAGGAAGAATAAAAAAGGACAACCAGAAAAGTCTTAATGACATTT